TGTCAGACACACCTGCCTAGTGGTATGTACAACTATATAGCCCACCAGTGGAGCTGTCAGACACACCTCCCTAGTGGTATGTACAACTATATAGCCCACCAGTAAAGCTGTCAGACACCTGCCTAGTGGTATGTACAACTATATAGCCCACCAGTAAAGTGGTCAGACACACCTGCCTAGTGGTATGTACAACTATATAGCCAAACAGTAAATCGGTCAGACACACCTGCCTAGTGGTATGTATAACTATATAGCCCAACAGTAAAGCGGTCAGAAACACCTGCATAGTGGTATGTATAACTATATAGCCCACCAGTAAAGTGGTCAGACACACCTGCCTAGTGGTATGTACAACTATATAGCCCAACAGTAAAGCGGTCTGACACACCTGCCTAGTGGTATGTACAACTATATAGCCCACCAGTGGAGCTGTCAGACACACCTGCCTAGTGGTATGTTTAACTATATAGCCCAACAGTAAAGCTGTCAGACACACCTGCCTAGTGGTATGTATAAACTATATAGCCCAACAGTAAAGCTGTCAGACACACCTGCCTAGTGGTATGTACAACTATATAGCCCAACAGAAAAGTGGTCAGACACACCTGCCTAGTGGTATGTATAACTATATAGCCCAACAGTGAAGCTGTCTGACACCTGCCTAGTGGTATGTACAACTATATAGTCACCAGTGGAGCTGTCAGACACCTGCCTAGGGATATGTACAACTATATAGCCCACCAGTGAAGCTGTCAGACACCGGCCTAGTGGTATGTACAACTATATAGCCCACCAGTGGAGCTGTCAGACACACCTGTCTAGTGGTATGTACAACTATATAGCCCACCAGTGGAGCTGTCAGACACACCTGCCTAGTGGTATGTACAACTATATAGCCCACCAGTGGAGCTGTCAGACACACCTGCCTAGTGGTATGTACAACTATATAGTCACCAGTAAAGCTGTCAGACACCTGCCTAGTGGTATGTACAACTATATAGCCCACCAGTGGAGCTGTCAGACACACCTGCCTAGTGGTATGTATAACTATATAGCCCACCAGTAAAGCTGTCAGACACCTGCCTAGTGGTATGTATAACTATATAGCCCACCAGTAATGCTGTCAGACACCTCCCTAGTGGTATGTACAACTATATAGCCCACCAGTGAAGCTGTCAGACACCTGCCTAGTGGTATGTATAACTATATAGCTCACCAGTGAAGCTGTCAGACACACCTGCATAGTGGTATGTATAACTATATAGCCTACCAGTGGAGCTGTCAGACACACCTCCCTAGTGGTATGTACAACTATATAGCCCACCAGTGGAGCTGTCAGACACCTCCCTAGTGGTATGTACAACTATATAGCCCACCAGTGGAGCTGTCAGACACACCTGCATAGTGGTATGTATAACTATATAGCCCACCAGTAAAGCTGTCAGACACACCTGCCTAGTGGTGTGTATAACTATATAGCCCACCAGTGGAGCTGTCAGACACACCTGCCTAGTGGTATGTACAACTATATAGCCCACCAGTAAAGCTGTCAGACACCTGCCTAGTGGTATGTACAACTATATAGCCCACCAGTAAAGCTGTCAGACACCTGCCTAGGGATATGTACAACTATATAGCCCACCAGTGAAGCTGTCAGACACCTGCCTAGTGGTATGTACAACTATATAGCCCACCAGTAAAGCTGTCAGACACACCTGCCTAGTGGTATGTACAACTATATAGCCCACCAGTAAAGCTGTCAGACACACCTGCCTAGTGGTATGTACAACTATATAGCCCACCAGTGAAGCTGTCAGACACACCTGCCTAGTGGTATGTACAACTATATAGCCCACCAGTGAAGCTGTCAGACACACCTGCCTAGTGGTATGTATAACTATATAGTCACCAGTAAAGCTGTCAGACACACCTGCCTAGTGGTATGTACAACTATATAGCCCACCAGTAAAGCTGTCAGACACACCTGCCTAGTGGTATGTACAACTATATAGCCCACCAGTGAAGCTATCAGACACCTGCCTAGTGGTATGTACAACTATATAGCCCACCAGTAAAGCTGTCAGACACACCTGCCTAGTGGTATGTACAACTATATAGCCCACCAGTAAAGCTGTCAGACACACCTGCCTAGTGGTATGTACAACTATATAGCCCACCAGTAAAGCTGTCAGACACACCTGTCTAGTGGTATGTACAACTATATAGCCCACCAGTGAAGCTGTCAGACACCTGCCTAGTGGTATGTACAACTATATAGCCCACCAGTAAAGCTGTCAGACATACCTGCCTAGTGGTATGTACAACTATATAGCCCACCAGTGAAGCTGTCAGACACCTGCCTAGTGGTATGTACAACTATATAGCCCACCAGAGGCGCAGGACTGATTGAGGGGCAGTAACTCTGTTGTTCCTCCACCAAAAAATGGGGTCCAGTGGCGCACACGGGGAGCAAACAAATATGGCACAAAGTGTACAGGCCTCATATAATATGCAACAAGACAAGTGACCAACAAAAATATAGCTCAAAATGTACAGGTTTTATATAAACACAGAATAAGACAAGTGACCAACATGGAACAGAATTCAAACACTGATAATATAAATACAGAATGTGACAAGTGTGACTTACATGTGGTTCTGACAAAATGTCCCTGATGGTTGTCAGCAATGGGTAGTATCCTTGACCACAAGTTCCCCTAAAGTCGTCCATTTCTACTGACCAGACAAAGGCTCCCGCCAAACCCCGAGACTTGATGTTGTTGGCCTGCAGATGAGATAGTTCACAGGAACATGATGTCAGATGTTTCAGGGAACATACAAGACTAGGCTGATAGAATGTTGCAGCGAACATACAAGACCAAGCTGACAGAATGTTGTGGGAAACATAAAAGACCAAGCTGACAAATTGTTACAGGGAACATACTTGTCCAAGCTGACAGAATGTTGCAGGGAAATACTTGTCCAAGCTGACAAAATGTTGCAGGGAACATACTTGGCCAAGCTGAAAAAATGTTTCAGGGAACATACTTGTCCAAGCTGAAAGAATTTTGCAAGGAAAATAAAAGACCAAGCTTAAAGAATGTTGCAGGGAACATAATTGTCCAAGCTGACAGGAGGATGCTGGCAGAATGTTGCAGGGAACATACAGGGCAAAGATGACAAAAAAATGTTTCAGGGATCATACTAAACCAGGTTTAACAAATGTTGCAGGGAACATACAAGACCAGTCTTAAAGAACGTTGCAGGGAACATACAAGACCAGGCTTAAAGAATGTTGCAGGAAACATACAAGACCAGACTGACAGAATGTTGCAGGGAAGATACAAGACCAGGCTGACAGAATGTTGCAGGGAACATACAAGACCAAGCTGACAGAATGTTGCAGGAAACATACAAGACCAAGCTGACAGAATGTTGCAGGGAACATACAAGACCAGGCTTAAAGAATGTTGCAGGGAACATACATGACCAAGCTAACAGAATGTTGCAGGGAAGATACATAATCCTCCTTACAGAATGTTGTTGCACGAAACATGTAGGATGAGACTTGGGTAGTTTTACAGGGACATTTATCAACAGTTAACACAATCACTGGACATACTCTTCTACAGTTAACACAATCACTGGACATACTCTTCTACAGTTAACACAATCACTGGACATACTCTTCTACAGTTAACACAATCACTGGACATACTCTTCTACAGTTAACACAATCACTGGACATACTCTTCTACAGTTAACACAATCACTGGACATACTCTTCTACAGTTAACACAATCACTGGACATACTCTTCTACAGTTAACACAATCACTGGACATACGCTTCTACAGTTAACACAGTCACTGGACATACTCTTCTACAGTTAACACAGTTACTGGATATACTCTTCTACAGTTAACACAGTCACTGGACATACTCTTCTACAGTTAACACAGTCACTGGACATACACTTCTACAGTTAACACAATCACTGGACATACTCTTCTACAGTTAACACAATCACTGGACATACTCTTCTATAGTTAACACAATCACTGGACATACTCTTCTACAGTTAACACAGTTACTGGATATACTCTTCTACAGTTAACACAATCACTAGACATACTCTTCTACAGTTAACACAATCACTGGACATACTCTTCTACAGTTAACACAATCACTGGACATACTCTTCTACAGTTAACACAGTCACTGGACATACTCTTCTACAGTTAACACAGTCACTGGACATACTCTTCTACAGTTAACCCAATCACTGGACATACTCTTCTACAGTTAACACAATCACTGGACATACTCTTCTACAGTTAACACAATCACTGGACATACTCTTCTACAGTTAACACAGTTACTGGATATACTCTTCTACAGTTAACACAATCACTGGACATACTCTTCTACAGTTAACACAGTCACTGGACATACTCTTCTACAGTTAACACAGTCACTGGACATACTCTTCTACAGTTAACACAATCACTGGACATACTCTTCTACAGTTAACACAATCACTGGACATACTCTTCTATAGTTAACACAATCACTGGACATACTCTTCTATAGTTAACACAATCACTGGACATACTCTTCTACAGTTAACACAGTTACTGGATATACTCTTCTACAGTTAACACAATCACTGGACATACTCTTCTACAGTTAACACAATCACTGGACATACTCTTCTACAGTTAACACAATCACTGGACATACTCTTCTGCAGTTAACACAGTCACTGGACATACTCTTCTACAGTTAACACAATCACTGGACATACTCTTCTACAGTTAACACAATCACTGGACATACTCTTCTATAGTTAACACAATCACTGGACATACTCTTCTACAGTTAACACAGTTACTGGATATACTCTTCTACAGTTAACACAATCACTAGACATACTCTTCTACAGTTAACACAGTCACTGGACATACTCTTCTACAGTTAACACAGTTACTGGACATACTCTTCTACAGTTAACACAATCACTGGACATACTCTTCTACAGTTAACACAATCACTGGACATACTCTTCTACAGTTAACACAATCACTGGACATACTCTTCTACAGTTAACACAATCACTGGATATACTCTTCTACAGTTCACAGTTTAACAGTCATGGTGAATATTAGATCGAATGTTTGTATAAACTGTGCAGGTTAAGATGTTTATTCTTGCTCCCGACAGCAACGCAGCTAGCAACCCAGCCAGCAACCCAGCCAGCAACCCAGCTAGCAACCCAGCTAGCAACCCAGCTAGCCACTGCTTGAGCATTAGACCCATACAGAAAATAGTGCCTCAATAGAAGTCTGATTGTGTGGGTTTTGTTCCTTCCCTGAGTTTTGAGCGTTGGCCAGATCTCTGGTCACTCCTCACTGCCCTATTCTCTTTGGAGTTGAGTTGAGTCAATAATTGACATCACAGCACTCAGGGCATTCCCATGAGTACTCTGTCCTAATCTTCAGCAGCCAGCGCAGAGTTCCCATACTAATAATACCAGTCGTAATCTGGTTATATGTCCGTCTTGCCTTTCTCCTCAGTGTAGTGAGCCGGCCAGCCCCCCTGGATACACCAAGGTGCCTCATTCTTTTCAGGCCGAAATAATCTTGTTTCGCCTCCTACTCCACTGCTTGTTTCTAAAGGGCCCTTACAACTAACTTGTCATGCATTGATTCACCACCCAGTGGTGCAGAACTGGCCAGCAACTGCTCTGTTTATTTCCCAATACACAGGAATGACCTGGAAAATATCCAAATGAGGCTAACTACCCAAGCCTCTAAAGTGATCCTTGCCAGTCTACAAGGAGCACACATGTCTTCAATGTTCTCAGGATGCTCCGTGAATCAGTTACCATGACAACATGTGTATGCAGCTGGTTCTCAAGCCAGTACAAGGCTTCAATGACTGCCTCTACCTCCAGTCTCAGACTTGGTGGCTGTGATGCTGAAACAGTTTTGGCTAAAAGGTTTATAGTTTTACAGTCGTAGAAAACACGAGTCTACACCGTATCACATGAGTCTATACCAGAGGTTCTCAACCTTCATTATGCTCCGATCCTTTAATACATTTCCTCATGTTGTGGCGATCCTAAACCATTTTATTTTCATTGCTACTTTATCAATTCAATGAATATGTGTTTTGCAATGATCTTTAGTGATCCCTGTGAAAGGGTCGTTCGACCCAAAAAATGGTCGTGACCAACAGTTTGAGAACCGCTGGTCTATACAGTATCACAGTCATATGAGTCTACACAGTATCACATGAGTCTATACAGTATCACATGAGTCAACACATTATTACATAGTCCCAGTTCAAGTGCAGAAAAGGACTCACCTTAAGTATAATACTCTTCTGATCCTCGTAGCCCACCCACTGGTCCCCGCCCACAGCGTAGGGGGCCGCCTGGTCCTCGATCCACACAGAGTTCCAGCCCTTGTCTCGCAGGTTCATGCAGATCTGATGTGAACATGTATGATTGTTACTGATGATTGTTTTACTTAGTGTATGATTGTGTGAACCAAGCATGATTGATGATTTCGTAAGCTAATGTGCTAGCCATACATAATTGAAGAGTAAGTATTACCTAGTATTGACTTTGCCAGTTTACTGGTGCTTGCTTCTCACAGCTATGTCTATTGGTCATTCTCCTCACTCCTCACAGTTTCCCGCCCCATCGTCAGTCTGCTGATAATTACTCTTCTCCCCCGGTCTGTCAACTTTCCTATCTGTTCCATGGCAGTTGGGATCAGCTGAATTCTCAACCAAGATCTCCTGAAGGTGTCCTCAGTCCAGCTTCTCCTGGCTCACATGCGTCCATTCTTGAAGGTGTCCTCAGTCCAGCTTCTCCTGGCTCACATGCGTCCACTCTTGAAGGTGTCCTCAGTCCAGCTTCTCCTGGCTCACATGCGTCCACTCTTGAAGGTGTCCTCAGTAGCTTCTCCTGGCTCACATGCGTCCACTCCTGCACCATACTTGACACTTGTGCATGGTTCTTTAGTCTAGGCCTGGGCTGCTCTCGGAGTCAGCAGGGTAAAGAGAGGTACAAGTGGGTCTGCTGTCTAAGTACACAAAAAGCAAGAGGGCAGAGAGAAGAACAGAAATGCTGTGAGTCCAGCATTGTCATTTAGAGTGACCAAAGATAAATATCGACACACAGAGACAGATAGAGATCAATACTGACAGGCAGATACCAGATAAATATGGATAAACAGACAAATATTGACACATCGAGACAGAAAATAGGTAAATACTGACGAGCAGATACAAGATAAATATGGATAAACACACAAATATTGAAACATCGAGTCAGATAATAGGTAAATACTGGCTGGCAGATACAAGATCAATATGGATAAACAGACAAATATTGACACATCGAGACAGATAATAGGTAAATACTGACTGGCAGATACAAGATAAATATGGATAAACAGATAAATATTGACACATCGAGACAGATAATAGGTAAATACTGACAGGCAGATACAAGATAAATATGGATAAATAGACAAATTTTAAAACATGGAGACACGTAATAGGTAAATACTGACAGGCAGATGCAAGATAAGCACTGGCAGGAAGATAAATGATAACAAATAAAAGTTTGATATTAGCAAACAATTAAAAGATTAATAAGTAATGACAGCTGCATAATTAAGAGATAAATATTTACAGTTAGAAAGATAACAGATTAACAATGAAACATGGACACAGACGAGACAAAACACTGACACAAAGACAAAATGAAAAACTGACTCAGACAGACAACAGGATAAAAGTCAAACCTCATAGTAAGCCAGGATGCCCGTCTCCCTGGTGTAGTCTCCCATCCTCCCACCTCCCACAGCTGGAGCATGCACCTCACTGTTGCTAGGGTTGGCCAAGGTGAAGGACATCCCGTAAGTGGGGATACCCACAATCAGTTTCTCTCTAGGGATGCCCACGTCCAGCCAGTAATCAATGGACCACTCCTGTAAATGGACACAGGTCATCAGTGAAGATTGTCTGGTCTTGGCATGGCACACAACTGTTTGATTACTCTTTCAACGAGGCAGGCAGCAAGCATAGATGTAGCATTAGATACATTTTCATCACTTTTATCATTGCTGCCATCTGACACTGCTTATTGTCATTGTTATCTTTTTTAATTTTTTTTTTGTTTTACACTTTCAGACACATGAAAACTGCTATAAGTAAGAGATGTATGTGGTCACTGTTGTTGATTAATATCAGATGTGTAGCTGATTGTGAGCAGGACAAGCAGTCTAGAGATGTTTTAGTATATTGTGAGCAGGACAAGCAGTCTAGAGATGTTTTAGTATATTGTGAGCAGGACAAGCAGTCTAGAGATGTTTGTGTTGTTGATTGTGAGCAGGACAAGCAGTCTAGAGATGTTTGTGTAGTTGATTGTGAGCAGGACTGGCAGTCTAGAGATGTTTGTGTAGTTGATTGTAAGCAGGACAAGCAGTCTAGAGATGTTTGTGTAGTTGATTGTGAGCAGAGCAGGCAGTCTAGAGATGTTTGTGTAGTTGATTGTAAGCAGGACTGGCAGTCTAGAGATGTTTGTGTAGTTGATTGTAAGCAGGACTGGCAGTCTAGAGATGTTTGTGTAGTTGATTGTAAGCAGAACAGGCTGTCCAGAGATGTTTGTGTAGTTGATTGTGAGCAGAACAGGCTGTCCAGAGATGTTTGTGTAGTTGATTGTGAGCAGGACTGGCAGTCTAGAGATGTTTGTGTAGATGTCTAAAACCACTCTTTAATTAGCCGGCTAGATGTACATACAATCAAGGTACACACCTGGTACAGCTGGGCTTTCTCTCCTGTCTTGGGATCATCCCTGTGACGGTACAATCCGCTGTGGTGTCCAGTTATCTTCTCCCACTGACCGTGATAGTTGTAAGTCATCAGTAACATAAAGTCAACATACCTACATGAAGAGAACAACACAACAATCAAGTCAGATAAAACAGAAATGTAGAGAGAAAGAAAACCAGCAACCTGTGAGGGAGGAAAAGATATGCAGAATATGAAATGATTTCAGTTCATAAGGACAATAGAATCTTATCTGTCTCTGTGTTTTGTGTGTGCACATATGTGCATTCATTCATATATCTTATTCCTCTGTATGTTTCTTTCTGGTCAAAATGGATGCTAGGCACGGTCACTGTTTGTAGCCGTGTCAAATTTGTTTTGCTTCTGCCAGACAGTGACCATTGCATTTTTTGCTCCATTTGTAGATTGAAAGGATATAGTTTCGTCGTCAAGCTTTCGAGTTGAGCACATGGTGTAACACTGTGAGCTGCGGATGTAATGTTTTTTGACTGTGACCAACCTGGTGGTGTGAATTGTAGATTCAGAAAATGGCGTGATGCCTGTTGTCGCAATATTGGTGGTGCCATTATGTGATTGAAATTGTGTGTGCAACTGCTGATTTGTTTGTGACTTCTGCTACCATTCATGATGAACTGCATTTCTAATGTCTAATGTCCGACTGTTTGTATTAGCACTTCGGATGGCTACCATATGCTTTTAATGCATGTGTATGCTAGTGCATATGCTGAGACAGCAGTCAATCTTTCCACAAGGGACTGTGATAAACATTTTGTGTATAATTCATTGGCACAAGAACGGAGCAACTATGGGGTGACCCATTTGAAGCTGAAACTAAGTTTACCAGATTATCAGATTACCAGGTTTCTTTTATGTCTCAACAGCTGACCTTTGTGTCCCAACAGCTGACTTTTGTGTCCCAACAGCTGACTTTTGTGTCCCAACAGCTGACCTTTGTGTCCCAACAGCTTACCTTTGTCTCCCAACAGCTGACATTTGTGTCCCAACAGCTGACCTTTGTGTATTGCCTATTTATGTTCTTCACTGATGTGTTTCTGATGCCAAATGGATGATGCTTTATCCATAAATGGATGATGTCTCTGGTACAAATCAACAAACAGATGGATTATGTTTACTTCACGAATAGATAGAAGATGTCTAATCCACAATCATCCCTGTTTGGTTTCCAGGGTCCCATTGTGGGGGAAACAAGAATAGACCCATTGCCTCACCAATACAACAACATCAGGGTCATACAACTTGACAAGAAGGGCACACAGCAACAACAGGGGCACACAACAACACCAGGGGCCCCTAACTCACCAACAAGGGTGCACAACTCACCAACAATGAGACACAACAACAATAACAACAACAGGGGCACACAACTCACCACCAGGGGCACAAACTAAGAACAATGTCACACAACAACACCAGGGGCCCACAACAACACCGGGGGCACACAATTCACCAACAAGGGCACACAACCTACCAACAAGGGTGCACAACTCACAAAAAGGGGCACACAACAACACCAGGAGCACAAACTCACCAACAAGGGTGCACAACTCACCAACAGGGGCACACAACAACAACAGGGGTAAACAACTTACCACCAGGGGCACACAACAACTCACAACAAGGTAACACAACAACACAAGAGTACCACAACAACTCACAACAAGGTAACACAACAACACAAGGAGCACACAATTAACTAACAAGGGCACACAGCTTACCAACAAGCGTGCACAACTCACAAAAATGGGCACACAACAACACCAAGGACACAAACTCACCAACAAAAGCATATAGCTCACCACCAGGGGCACATAACTTTCTAACAAGGGCACACACAAAACCAGATCATCAGCAGGGGCACACAACTCACTTGATGATCTGTTTAGGTTCATAGCTCTGTGCGATGTAATAGGTCCCTGAGGCCGTGGCCAAGGTCAGCAACAACTTCTCCCTGCCAGTGTCAGCAGCTTCTTGAGCAAATGCTTCAAACAATCCCTGCAGGCATCACACAATGACAGGTTGTGATACTTTTACATACACATCAAACTGAGCCACTTGTACATCTCCACCCCATCAATCAAATCCAGCCACTTATGAATCTTTACCAATCAAATCCAGCCACTTGTGAATCTTTACCAATCATATCCTGCCATTAATACATCTTCACCAATCAAATCCAGCCATCTATACATCTACACCAATCACATCCAGCCACTTATGAATCTTTACCAATCAAATCCAGCCACTTATGAATCTTTACCAATCAAATCCAGCCACTGCCATATCCTGCCATTAATACATCTTCACCAATCAAATCCAGCCATCTATACATCTACACCAATCACATCCAGCCACTTATGAATCTTCACCAATCAAATCCAGCTACTCATACATATCCACCAATCAAATTCAGCCAATTAAATATCTCCACCCCCCACCCCCACCAAAACAAAAAAAAAATCAGCGCATGCACTTTGCTGAAAGCAGCTTATTTTAAACAACAATTCAGCTATTTGAGATGACTTCAGTCTACTTTAAGGATACTGACCTGTCCTAACCTAGAATAACAGTAAGCTAGTGCTTTGTGTCAGAGTGTATGTGTTATCGGGAAAGACCTAATTTGTTTCCTGACTAGAAATACTAAAGCAAGGTTGGGGTCAGAAAGACTGCATGGAGTGATTGGGGGAGGGGGGAGGGGGTGGGAAGTTGTTTATATAGGTGCCAGAAGCTAGGGAATCCAGTCCCTTGGCTTCTTTTCGTCAGCAACACCACTAACACAATGTTTCGAACCAATCCCTCCCACAAACACACACACATACAAACCAACAAAAAGACTCACCTTCATAAGTTGTGTAAATCTATATTTATCCTCAGGGGGACTTCCCCTGGTGGCCGGGAATTCCCAGTCCACATCGAAGCCATCAAATCCGTGCCTGTAGATACATGGGGTAAATACCGGGGATTTGAGAAATACTGACATACATTACTGGGTAGAGAGATATTGACCCATATTTCTAATTAGAGAGATACTGACACATTCCTGGGTAAGCAAATACTGACACACATTCCTGGGTTTACAAATACTGACACATTCCTGGGTAAGCAAATACTGACACATATTCCTGGGTAAGCAAATACTGACATACATTCCTAGGTTGACAAATACTGACACATATTCCTGGGTTGACAAATACTGACACATATTCCTGGGTAAGCAAATACTGACATACATTCCTGGGTTGACAAATACTGACACATATTCCTGGGTAAGCAAATACTGACATACATTCCTGGGTAGACAAATACTGACACATATTCCTGGGTAAGCAAATACTGACATACATTCCTGGGTTGACAAATACTGACACATATTCCTGGGTAAGCAAATACTGACATACATTCCTGGGTTGACAAATACTGACACATATTCCTGGGTAAGCAAATACTGACACATTCCTGGGTAAGCAAATACTGGCACACATTCCTAGATAGAGAAATACTGGCACACATTCCTGGGTAAGCAAATACTGACACAAATTCCTGGGTAGAGAAATACTGACACATATTCCTAGATAGAGAAATCTTCTTCTTCACTTCCTCTTTTACCGCTGTGGGTGTCGAGGGAGCTATAAGGTTCTGTTTCTAGCTCTTCTGGCTGCCTCGACCATAGGCACATCGTGCTGTTGTAGAGTTTCTCTGATGTTATCCTTCCATCTTGTTCTTGGTCTACCCCGTGCTCTACGTCCTTCTTCTCTTTCCATGTATGCTTTGTATGGTATGGTGTCACAAGGCATTCTTTCTAAGTGGGCAAACCATTTCACTTGCTGTCTTTTTATGTAATCCAGAATTGGTTCTGTGCCGACTTGTTCTCTTATGATCTCATCCCTGATCTTATCTCTAATGGTCACTCCTACAGCCCTTCTCAGACATCTCATTTCCGTGGTTACTAATTTTCTTTTATGGTTTGTTGTGAGTGATCATGTCTGGCACTGGTAGCACAGAGTTGGAATAAATATGCTTTGAATAAGATGTCTCTTTGTGCTGATTGGGATTGTCTTATGCTGTAAGAGGGGGGCTAGCTGTCCCAATACTTGGTTTGCTTTACTGCATCTAATGTTAATTTCTTTATCCAATTTCCCATCTTCGGTAAATGTAGTTCCCAGATATTTAAACTCAGATGCCTGTTTAATGCCTTTGTATTCTATTCCTATGTTTAGATCTGTCTTCTTTTTTCCTATTGACATTACTTCTGTCTTTTCAGTTTTGATACTCATATTATTTGTTTCACATTCTTCCATGGATGTTAGATGTTGTTGCAATTTCATGGCTGTATCTGCTATCAAGGCCTGGTCATCTGCAAAGAGTAATTCGTTGATCTTACTAAGATCTTCATTCATGGGCTTGGCATTCCTGCATATACTGTTGATGTAGGGGATAAACAGCAGTGGTGATAAGACACACCCCTGTCTTACTCCAGATGTCACTGTGAAAGGATGAGATGTTCCCTGATTTATTCTAACTACACTTCTACAATCCCTGTATAAACTTTTGCACACTTCGATGAGGTGTTCGCTAACTCCATATCTTGCCATTACTTTCCATAATAATTGTCTGTCGACTCTGTCAAATGCCTTCTCCTGGTCTACGAATGCCACAAATAAGTTCTTATTGTATTCAATGTTCTTTTCTATTAACTGTTTTAGTGTGAAGATTGCATCTATGCAGCTTCTATTTCTCCTAAATCCCATCTGTTCTTCTGCCAGCTGTGGTTCTATCACTGGTCTCAGTCTTGTTTCTATTATCTTGGCATACATTTTGCCAACATGGCTTAAAAGAGAGATGCCTCAATATTTACCGCATTCTCGTTTGCTTCCTTTGTTCTTCCATAATGGTATAACTATTGCATGTTGCTAATCAATAGGGGCGGTTTGTTGTACCCATGCTGCATTGAATATTCTGTGAAGCCATCTGATGCTGCTTTCACCTGCTGCTTGAATTATTTCTGTTGGTAATCTATCAGCTCCTGGTGCTTTATATTTGGGAGACTGTTTAATGACTTTTTCTATTTCATCCATTAGTATGTGTGGTTCTAACACTGTTGCTCTGTGCTCTTCAGTGGTTCTTTCCCTGATGATCTCCTAGAGGATTAAAGAGCTCATTGAAGTATTTCCTCCATCTTTCTGCTATCTCGGGTGGAACTATCAATGGCCTTCCTGTCTTATCATTAATTATTTCAGTGGTGTTGTAGCTCTCATCTCTTTTCCGCATATAGAGAAATACTGACACATATTCCTAGATAGAGAAATACTAACACAAATTCCTGGGTAGAGAAATACTGACACATATTCCTGGGTAAGCAAATACTGACACAAGTTCCTGGGTAGAGAAATACTGACACATATTCCTAGATAGAGAAATACTGACACATATTTCTAGATAGAGAAATACTAACACAAATTCCTGGGTAGAGAAATACTGACACATATTCCTGGGTAAGCAAATACTGACACAAATTCCTGGGTAGAGAAATACTGACACACATCCCTGGGTAGAGAAATACTTACATACATTCCTATTAGAGAAATACTGAAAAACATTCCTGTTCAGAAAAATACTGACACATATTAGAATTACTGTAAATAAGACAAAGGGAGCTATGAAGAAATTTACTATAAATAAGACAGAGGGAGTTAGTTGAGAATTACTAAAAATAAGACAAAGGGAGCTAGGTAGAAAATTACTATAAATAAGACAAAGGGAGCTAGTTGAGAATTACTATAAATAAGACAGAGGGAGCTATGAAGATAATTACTATAAATAAGAAGGGAAGCTGTTGAGAATTACTATAAATAAGACAAAGGGAGCTAGTTGAGAATTACTATAAATAAGACAGAGGAAGCTAGTTTGAGAATTATTATAAATAAGACAGAGGGAGCTAGGAAGATAATTACTATAAATAAGAAGGGAAGCTGTTGAGAATTACTATAAATAAGACAAAGGGAGTTAGTTGAGAATTACTATAAATAAGACAAAGGGAGCTAGTTGAGAATTACTGTAAATAAGACAGAGGAAGCTAGTTTGAGAATTATTATAAATAAGACAGAGGGAGCTAGGAAGATAGTTACTATAAATAAGAAGGGAAGCTAGGTAGAGAATTACTATAAATAAGAAGGAAAGCTGGGAAGGGAATGTTTGTGAGTCGGGGATGGGGCAAGAGGGATGCTAATAGAAGAACGGCTGTAGGATTTGGGGGCAGGTTGGGGGGGGGGGGGCGTTAGACAGGAAACGACTGAGATGACGAGAACTGGGAGATGGAAGAGGTACTCACTTTCTGAGATACTGGACAACGTTTTTGATCCACACACGCCTGTTCTCTTCATTTTTGATCATGGGAATGAAAGGTTTAGAACCAATCTGCCACCCCCCGACGGCAAGTAGAACCTTCAGGGAGGGGTTCTTGTCTTTCAACGCTAGGGTTCTGGCATAAAGTCCTGCAATATTTCAGGACAGGTCATAGGTCACCAGTTTAGCTCTGCCACACATAGGATGAGGTTATCTACGATGGTATTATTTATGACAACAACAATGGTGATGATTTGTGGGGTACTTTAATTTTCATTTACCCCAAGCAAAGGAGATCTGCCTGTTTCCGCGAGAGTACAATACTAGCCGAAGATCGGAAAGTCGTGGGTTCGCTCCCTGGCGGAGCCGGACTTTTCTTAAAAAATGACCTTGGCTCTCAGGTCGACCCAGCTTGAGTGGGTACCGCGTGCAGTCCCGGGAAGTAGAGGCGGCCGGCGTGATGCTGACCACATCACCCATCTTGTGCCGTTGGTCAATAAAATTTAGGTCTAGCCCTATATGCCCTATACGCCTAAAGGAGTGGAAAAGGGTCCTGTATTTTACTTACAATATTCTAGGAGTATTATGGGTTGATATGAACACCAAAACTATAATTTGGTGGGGCAATAGCAAGAGAACGCCAGCGTGCCACAACAGGGAAATAAAACTGACCGTTGTCAGCCCCGATCGCCTCAGAGACACCTACCAACCCTAACCCTAACGGCAACCCTAACACCTACCGTCAACCCTAACACCTACCGCCAACCCTAACACCTACCGCCAACCATAACCCTAACGCCAACCCTAACACCTACCGCCAACCATAACCCTAACGCCAACCCTAACACCTACCGCCAACCATAACAACGCTAGAATACTGGACTTGTCCTCGGACCTGCGCATTTCCCATGTTTTGGGCCAATTAAAAAAAAATACAATTTGTTGATGATGATGATGATAATGATGATGATAATGATGATGATAATGAACTGTTTTTATCTGGTGATACACAACAGTACGCCTTACCGGCACCTTTTGAGGGATTTGGTCCAGCACTAATGTAATAGCCACAACGTCCTGTGTTCCGGTTCCCTCTTCTTGTTTAGACACTTTGTGGTGAGTTTTGATACCTGTTTGTTTTCTTCTAAATAAGCTTTGTTTCCGTGTTTATGATGTTGATAATGACCATGATACATCATCATCATCATCATCATCAGGTGCCGTGCCGACTGGCGTGGGCGATCATGCCTCTCCATAATCTGCGATCTCCTGCAGCATGTATCAGTTCGTGTGCCGACACACCTCCATGCCATGCAACAAGACTGTCAAGCATCTTCTCTCGCTGTCTTCCTCTATCCCTCCTTCCACAGATCTTTCCAGTGGTCACAACGTGTTCTATTTTTCCTCTTCTCATAACACGGCCGAAAAATGATGACTGTCTCATTCTGACTTCTGTGATAAGTTGTGACCATGATACAGTTTATGCTAATACGCAGACAGATAGAGATGAGGAACCCTTGAGGCCAGACAAACAAAATGATAAACGAACAAACAAATGGTGGGCTTCCTCCGCAATGTAGGTTGCCTGCAATCTATTAACAACCAGCTATGGGAACATCCCGAAAACGGGACACCACACGAATATACTGATCTCAAAATAGGACATTCCACTAATATTTCGAGCTGAAAACGGGACACCACACGAATATACTGATCTCAAAATAGGACATTCCACTAATATTTCGAGCTGAAAACGGGACACGCTAAAAAAATGCTAGAAAAAAAAAAACTTGATACAGTAAAAATTCTCAACAAACCATTTCAGGCATTAAAACTGTCTAAGACTATTAAATCCAATAAGGTCTGCAAATATAATTAACAATAGGTGTATATTCTTAAATCGAGCAAATTTCTAGATTTCAGACATGACACACAAGACAGACAGGAGACGAAAAGCTAGATGTCAGACATGACACACAAGACAGACAGGAGACGAAAAGCTAGATGTCAGACATGACACACAAGACAGACATGACACACAAGACAGACAGGAAACGAAAAGCTAGATGTCAGACATGACATGATGAGACCCAACTACACAAGGAAACACGTCAGCTTACCTCTGGGACCCAGATCGTTACGATTGAAGGGAATGAGATGCCTGCCGTCCGGGGTGATGTCCACAAAGGCGTAGATGACGTGGGTACACAGGCTGGGGTCGATGTCCTCGGGGAGAAAGTTGCCGATCCCATGGCGGGTTTGTGCAAAACTGCTGTAGTAGCAGAAGATCTTACCTGTGGGGATCACGTGGTACAGACACATCAAAGAGTTTTTAGTCACACAGGAATAACAGACCTGGCCATTTTCTCCTCTCCCACACAAACACCACACAAACACACACATACACACAAGATAAAAGTAAAGATCCCTTTTCCACGCCTTTAGGCGTATTGGCAATAAAGGGCTAGACCTCAGTTTGTATAGACCTAGCGGCACTTCCCAGGACTGAACCTGGTACCCATTTAAGGCTAGGTCGACCTGGGAGTCAAGGTCATATCTGAAAAATATCCGGCTCCGCCAGGACGCGAACCCGCGACCTTCGGATCCGCAGGCGAGCGTCCAGCAGTCAATGTTCTGACGACTCCCACACAAGATACTTGATAGTATTAAAATAAAATAACCAAACAGACAATGAATCAAGTACCACCCTACCCCCTACCATCACCCTAGTGTAGTTTTTAAAGAAGTCTTATGTCTTGTAATAAGGCTGAAATATTTCCCATTTGTCCAATGTTATTTCTACCATCTATTCTCTGTTACTCCCCATCCCTTCATAACCTCTGTATAGATTATTTTGTGTCCATGAAAGACGACCCATTCTTCTGTATCTCCACATGCCCAGAAACAATCATGTTTTTAGTTTCCTGTTTTATTGTACAAGTCGTTGTAGCAGACAGTCGGCTTGAGTGTAGATAACACTAGACAGTTCTTTGCAGTGTCTCTAGAGATCACTAGTTTGGGCACACCGTTGAATATATTTTTAGTCTTGTTATTCTACAACACCTCCCCCCACCCCCCTCTTCAACACCCCCCCCCCCCAGTCTCTCTCTCTCCCATCATTGGTTTTCCCATTTCTTCTTATTCTTCTTCATCATCTTTCATCTTCTTCTTCTTCTTCTTCTTCTTCTTCATCTTCTTCTTCTTCTACTTCTTCTTCTTCTTCTTCTTCTTCTTCTTCTTCTTCTTCTTCTTCTTCTTCTTCTTCTTCTTCTTCTTCTTCTTCTTCTTCTTCTCCTTCTTTGCGTTCACCAGCTGTAAGCTCTGGCGGAAAGTTATGGTTGTTCGTCCACTTCTTGACTGCAGTCCTCTGCCAGAATCTGTGTTACGTGCGCAGTCTTTTTACAAGACTGATTCATCTGTATGCAGACTGACGGTTCCTTGCCATGCAGACAGATGCACATAGACATGGTTTGTGTATCATGTGACACTTAGGTTTGTGTATCATGTGACAGTTAGGTTTGTGTATCATGTGACACTTAGGTTTGTGTATCATGTGACACTTAGGTTTGTGTATTATGTGACAGGTTTGTGTATCATGCGACACTTAGATTTGTGTATCATGTGACACTTGGTTTTGTGTATCATGTGACACTTAAGTTTGTGTATCATGTGACACTTAGGTTTGTGTATCATGTGACACTTACCATGGACTTGACTAAAGAGTAGGGGCGCCAGAACAATTAACCATAGGGCAGCCATTTTGTCAGGATGAGAACACCAGAGCTGGTTGTTGTCTTCACGGAGATGGCAGAAAGATGGAGGAGTTCAATGGTAGCTGGCTGGTCTGATCTTTCTGTTGTTGTTAGTTATGGTCTGCGTCAGCAACTAGTTACTGGAAGCAACATTACAAGGCAGATTTAGTCAACTGTACCCTAAACACGAATGTCATTTAGAATAAAACGTATTAAATGTATCATAAACATAAATGTCATACAGGAGAAACGTTAACTAATGATACCCTAAACACGCATGTCATACAGGAGAAAAGTTAACTAATGATACCCTAAACACGCATGTCATACAGGAGAAAAGTTAACTAATGATATCCTAAACACGCATGTCATACAGGAGAAAAGTTAACTAATGATACCCTAAACACGCATGTCACACAGGAGAAAAGTTAACTAATGATACCCTAAACACGCATGTAACTAATGATACCCTAAACACGCATGTCATACAGGAGAAAAGTTAACTAATGATACCCTAAACACGCATGTCACACAGGAAAAAAGTTAACTAATGATACCCTAAACACGCATGTCACACAGGAGAAAAGTTAACTAATGATACCCTAAACACGCATGTCATACAGGAGAAAAGTTAACTAATGATACCCTAAACACGCATGTCATACAGGAGAAAAGTTAACTAATGATACCCTACAAACACGCATGTCTATACAGGAGAAAAGTTTAACTAATGATACCCTAAACACGCATGTCACACAGGAAAAAAGTTAACTAATGATACCCTAAACACGCATGTCATACAGGAGAAAAGTTAACTAATGATACCCTAAACACGCATGTCATACAGGAGAAAAGTTAACTAATGATACCCTAAACACGCATGTCATACAGGAGGAAAGTTTAAAGATTGTTTTTTGAACACGACTGTGATATGAGAGGGTGGGGGGGGGGGGTGGTGTTAACAAATGGTACCTTAAATACGATTGTCAAACAGAAGAAATGTTAGCAAATAATTCCTAAACACAATTGTCATACAGTTGAAACGTTAACAAATCGTATCCTGAAAACGATTAGTATGTTAGTAAATTATCACAATCGACGTCATTGCATATTGGGCATTCCCATTCGTGCTCAGTCCTCCGATGCAGCAGCCATTCCAATGTACCTTTTCTAATTGATGATTTCCCTGACAGGAAGGGATCAGTGAGAGATGGGGGGAGGGGGTGATCTATGACCGCTGTGTGTGCGTGTGTGCGACAGAGAGAAGGAGAGAGAGAGAGAAAGAAGGGAATGGAAAGAGTGAGAGAGATGGCGATGGATACAGAGAAGGGAAAAGGTGGAAAGAAGAGAAAGAGAGAGAGACAGACAGAGACAGAGAGAGAGACAGAGAGAGAGACAGAGCAGAGAGAGAGAGAGGCAGAGAGAGAGACAGAGAGAGACAGAAAGAGAGAGAGATTAAAACTGACATATTTAGTTTATAAGTCTGAATATCACAACGCCCACAGCACATACCACCTGGCAAAGAGATTTCTACCTGTTCTGTCAAAGTTTCTGACTTGATAATCCCACACTCAGCTGTTGATGTTTGAGTAACTCATAGATCTAGACACACCTCTTCAGTACCTGTTATGTATTCTCCCTTGCTGTAAGGAAATACCACAAAATATCGTCAGACCACAAGTTGTAGAGAACAGAAACAAGTGGAACAGTTAGTCACCTCAGTGTCCTAGTTTGCCCGGGACAGACTTTATATCCGTGCCCCTGTTGGCTTTCTGGCGACCTTGGAAAAAAAAAACGCTTTCACGCACTTGCCAAAGTTTTCCCATTGCATCATGGTTACTTGATGTTTGCAGACCCATCCACCCCCCAGCCCCACTTTTCCCCAGTCTCAAGTCGCGTGTGTCAACCAGGGTTCGATAATCCCAGCTTGAAGCTAAGCCCAGGGACAGCTAACTTACCGTTAGGCAGATCTGGTCCCATCATTTAGTGGCGAGGTCGATCGTGTGGACACATTTGCTGAGAGGGCCAAATGACTGCAAGTACAAACATTCCAGATGTCAGGGGGCTTCACCGGAGCAAGGGCTGAGATATCTCACATACACCGACACACTGGAGCAAGAACTGAGATATCTCACATACACCGACTCACTGGAAACAGGGCTGAGATATCTCACATACACTGACACACTGGAGCAAGGGCTGAGATATCTCACATACACCGACACACTGGAAACAGGGCTGAGATATCTCACATACACCGACACACTGGAGCAAGGGCTGAGATACCTCACATACACCGACACACTGGAAACAGGGCTGAGATATCTCACATACACTGACACACTGGAGCAAGGGCTGAGATACCTCACATACACCGACACACTGGAAACAGGGCTGAGATACCTCACATAAACTGACACACTGGAGCAAGGGCTGAGATATCTCACATACACCGACACACTGGAGCAAGGGCTGAGATACCTCACATACACCGACACACTGGAAACAGGGCTGAGATACCTCACATAAACTGACACACTGGAGCAAGGGCTGAGATATCTCACATACACCGACACACTGGAAACAGGGCTGAGATATCTCACATACACTGACACACTGGAGCAAGGGCTGAGATACCTCACATACACTGACACACTGGAAACAGGGCTGAGATATCTCACATACACCGACACACTGAAAACAGGGCTGAGATATCTCACATACACCGACACACTGGAGCAAGGGCTGAGATACCTCACATACACCGACACACTGGAGCAAGGGCTGAGATATCTCACATACACCGACACACTGGAGCAAGGGCTGAGATACCTCACATACACTGACACACTGGAAACAGGGCTGAGATACCTCACATACACCGACACACTGGAAACAGGGCTGAGATACCTCACATAAACTGACACACTGGAGCAAGGGCTGAGATATCTCACATACACTGACACACTGGAGCAAGAGCTGAGATATCTCACATACACTGACACACTGGAGCCAGAGCTGAGATATCTCACATACACTGACACACTGGAGCAAGAGCTGAGATATCTCACATACACCGACACACTGGAAACAGGGCTGAGATACCTCACATAAACTGACACACTGGAGCAAGGGCTGAGATATCTCACATACACTGACACACTGGAAACAGGGCTATCTCACATACACCGACACACTGGAGCCAGGGCTGAGATATCTCACATACACCGACACACTGGAGCAAGAGCTGAGATATCTCACATACACTGACACACTGGAGCAAGGGCTGAGATATCTCACATACACTGACACATTGGAAACAGGCCTGAGATACCTCACATACACCGACACACTGGAGCAAGGGCTGAGATATCTCACATACACCGACACACTGGAGCAAGGGCTGAGATATCTCACATACACCGACACACTGGAGCAAGGGCTGAGATATCTCACATACACCGACACACTGGAGCCAGGCCTGAGATATGTCACATACACCGACACACTGGAGCAAGAGCTGAGATATCTCACATATACCGACACACTGGAAACAGGGCTGAGATATCT